CTGGGATTACAAGCGTGCACCATCACGCCTGGCTCAAATGCTTTTTTTTGAGACCATGGAAAGATAATGAAAGTGTGAGGGCTACATCTACAGATGTCTAAATTATTTTCACAATTTGCTACACCTCTGCCACCACTCTTTGAAAAAACTGGTAACATATTTAGGGTACCTTTGAACAATATTGATGTCACATAGCATGTTGGATGCCAGAAATCACTGGTTGATTTTCCTTTCTAGGTAACACATTGAGTCTTTCATTTCCTAAGGGTAGCCAACTTTGAGCTGCCACCGCACAGCAGGCTGGATCCCAGGAGGAGCTTTTATTTATCTCATTCTCTATTAGTTGTAGGCTGACTTTCCTAAGAATGACTAGGAAATCTTGGTAGTTCACCTCACATATTTGCTCTGCTCAGGACTCTCTGTTGATCCTTCTCTTCATAGTAGAAACTTCCTTCTCATTGTTATAAGAGGAAGCAATTTAAAGGAGTGAGCTAAACATATATTCTTTTAAATCGTTGACTTATTTCTAGGGTCCTATTTAGGTAACTGCCTGTAGAGACAATTCACACTTCAGCCTGAAAATCCGTGAGGTCGTGATTTGGGTTTATAAATACTATCAATAATGTCTACAAGGGAATGGTTGCTTTTCAATCAGAATTACTGATAGATACTTCTGAAAATACTGCTGCAAATATTTCTAGGCAGAAGCTTATTTTTATACCTCAACATTAATTATATATCCTACTACAGTCACCTGTGAAGTTGGGTGCTATTGCCAGCTGGTACTATAAGGTAGCTATTGTGGAATAATCAGTACTGAAGTAGATACTGAAAGTCATCTAATACAGGGCTCTATCCTCACCCTCTTATCTCATAACTGTTCTTAGTTTTGGCCCATGCAGAAGAAATGACATAGGGTTACGCATGGCTTACTAGTGGCACAGCTAAGGCTTGCCTTTCTTAACAGGTAACTTTGAACACAGATTAAAGGTCTTTACAAACCAGAGTCTGGTAGTTCCCTCTCTTTTGTACTCTGACTATACCAATAACCTCTGGTTGTCTTTTCAGCCATCGCAGTGTCACAGTAAAAACATGGAGGTTGGGAATGGTGAGGGTGGGGTGAGGGTGATAGAGGTAGAGCTAAGTCCATTAGTGTCATTAAAGTGGTCAGTAGCCCTGAGAATACAATCAGGAACTCAGCTGGCCAAGGGTGGGGCTTCCCCTGCAGAAATTTTCCCCGTGGCTAACGAAGGAACTGGTGCTCTGTGTGCTTGCAGGACAAGGATAGGAACAGACAGGCCTGAGCCTGTGGGAGCTCTTGTGACCTGGCACTGCAGGAGGCGTCTCCTGGCTCATTTTGTGAGAGTCACAAGATGCTCTAGGGATAGTTTTATGAAGCTGTTCTTTCCTCCTGTGGCAGAGTTCACACTTGAGACATTTCCCTTTGTCTGTTGGGTGACTGTAGGTGGGCAGCCTTGACTCTGTTTTGAGTAGCTATTCCTACACAGCTTTACCTGCCTCATTTCTGCCCCCTTAAGAACTAATTTAAAAAAAAAAAAAAAGCTAATTTAAAAGACTACAAATTAACCTATCCAAGTAACTTGAAAAGTGTTGAAAATAGTGGGAAAAACCTAGAAAGTGTTTGAAGGAAGAATAACTATAGCTGTGCCACAGAAAAAAACAGGCTGTTTTGGGTCATGCCGATCCCCTCATTTTAAAAAAAAAAAACCAAAAAACCCCCAAAAATCTCAGCACATTGCCAGATGCTCCTTAGTGACCAAAGAAATTGTGGGTTTTAAGTTGTTCACTATTTCTAGAAACTTCATAAAGTTAATCCAGAAGTAACAGGGTGGAGACCAAGAAAGGAAGCAGGCTAGTTTATGGTGCTTTTAGTAGAGATAAAATATTTGTTTCAGGCTCAAGGCAGTTGAACAGCTGCCTCAAAGCTAGCTCCACACTAGCTGGGAGGCTGGCTTGGGTAATCCAGGCATCACCAACGTCAGGCAGCTGGAGGGAGATGTGGAGGACGTGATTGATTGCAGGGGTCATTGATGCATAGTTCCTGTCTCATCCTTGCTGCTGTCCTCCTCCTCTTTTGTTCAAACTGACAGATATTTCCTGAGCTCTGATACACATGCAAACCACCGTTAAGAACCGGCCTCCCCTTTCTAACTGGTTGTCTTCCTACTGACAATGTCCTGAACTTAAATCTTCATTCAGTGGCCCTTACTCTTGATGAGTAGTTCATTGAGTCATTTTGCTTTTTTTCTTTATACTTTAGAGAATATTTGTTGTTGTTTATTTGATTAGAAATTTATGATCCTGTGTGTAGTTTCTGGGTTAAAACAAAAATGCCGCCCTAGAACATTTGACACCCTCTCCCCATTTCATACCTCAAGTAGTGTGGGAAAGCTGTTAAGTCATTAATACAATTATGGATTTATGTTTGATTTCAATGCTGTTATATAATGTTTTCCCACAGTATAGCTGCCCCCTAATGAAATATTGGAGAGATAAACATATACTACCTCACAGCAACAAGTAAGGGTGGTCTAGAAGAACTTTGGGGATTTAGAAAATCTATTGTGAGAATAAATTGGGTACCTGGATCCTGGTCATAAACCCACTAACTAAGCTGGGCGTGGTGGGACACGCCTTTAATCCCAGCACTCAGGAGGCTGAGGCAGGAGGATCATTGCAAGTTCGAGGCCACCCTGGGCTACAAAGTAAGCTCAAGGCCAGCCTGAAGTGCATAGTGAGACCCTGTCTCAAAAAGACTAAACAAACAAACAAACAAACAAACAAACCCACTAGAGTGTGACCACTCTCATCTAGCCACACCACCTTCTATCTTTCTGGGTTTCTGAATGATTTCTAAAGACTTCAACAGTTTGGACTTTTGTAGATTTGGCATATAATTACTTACAAGTATTTGAAGATTGCACCAAGCAATAATATGTTCTTTTTTCCCCACAGAGTGAAGGCTGCACAGACTGAGTTAGGACAGCAAATCCTGGTAGATTTTGAAGAAGCATTTCCTTCCCAGGGTACCAAGGTAATTCTGCATTTTTCCTCAAGTCTTTAGATATTGTCACCATCCTTGCCTAATTCATATTCACTATAGCTCTTGCTCATCTATCATTCCAAAAGTGTTTGCTGGCAGTAGCAAATCTATGTGCTGAATGTTCAAAGCAGTAAGACCATCCTTATTTTTTTATTTTTATTTTTTTACAGTACTAGTGATCAAAACATCCCAGCCATTTTAATTTTTATTTTTATTTTTATTTTTATTTTTGAGTCAGGGTCTTGCTAGTGTGCCAAGAATCTAATCTTAACATTCCTCTTGTCTCGGCTTCCCTCAGGGCTGACATGCACCACTGTGCCTGGCTCACTCTTGGTTTTAAATATCCCAAAGAAATGTCAAATCCTTATCTGTCCATCCAGCATCAAAAGATGAGAATTTGTTTTGGTTTAATTGAATGTATGTCAAACCTTGTGTCTTGTTTACCCTGTCAATTCCTTTTCTCTCATGGCTGTGCTTGAAGGATAAATGTTCAAGCTGCAATGTTTTTTCTGCACTATTACATAACTTACTGGTTTTGGTTTGGTGAAAAGGCAACTAGAAGGAGTGTCTAGGGGCTTATGTAACTCTCAGAGCAACACTAAAGACTCACTCTGTAATTTGGAATTAAAGCCCATCAGCTCTCACTGGTAGTATAGCTGTTTGTGTCTGTAAAGACTATAGGATTTCATTTGTGAGCTATTGGCTACACTTCTCAGGACAAGCTTTCTCTCCCTTAGCCATCAATGCTCTGTGACCACTGTCAGCTACTTCCTTCATACTGTAACAGATAATATCTTAATACTGTCCATGTGTTAGGGAGGGCAGAACCTTTAGAAGGCTGTCTTTCCCTTATTTGAACTATTTCAAGAGAAAGACTTGTTCAAAGCAGAAGTGAACTGAAGTGTATGGGCCAGCAGTGTTCCTTGTGCAGATGGGAATATACATACACTTACTAAGCCAACAAGCATTTCCTAAATCTGCTACATAATTCAATAACTGGAAATATCCTAACCATTTTCTTCTTTGTGCTCCATAAAAGAAACTTAGGAAGTAGGTGGGCTGCCCCAGCTTTGGCATATTACTTTCTGTTCGAAACCTGCCACCACTTTTAATGTCTTCATATTTTGTGGCTGACCACAAGTAATCAGATATTTATTTGTAAAGCACTTTTCTTTGTGAACCTCAGCTTCTTTAGTCACCTCACCAATATAACTCAGGAAGTGGGTGCTGGAAAGTCATTATTCCTGTTGACCACATGAGGAAAACAAAGGTCAGACGAATAAACAGAGATTGCAAAAATGTTCCCTGACTGTGAGCACTAGACTCAGCGAGGCTAGTTTACTTTCCTGACCTCTATTGTTCCGTTCCTTTTTAAGAAGTTTCAGACAGATATGGGTAAAGCCCATCTTTATTATGTAACCATGGCCTACTTTATATCTTTTTTTTTTTTTTTTTAACCTTTTTTTTTTTTTTTTTTTTTTTTTCAATGGAGATGGGAATTCAACCCAGGGCCTTGCACATGCTAAGCATATGCTATACCACTGAGCTACACCCCTAACTCCAGCCCTACTGGTTTATTTTTTTCCCACATTGTGCTGGGTAGATGAAATTAAAAAGATTTTCTTGAATAGTTTGCATCCCTTTTCTCTGACTTGATGGCTTAATGGTTTTTTTAAGGCTTTTTCTTTTTTCATTTTTAAAGATTGTTGACTTCTGTTAAATGTTTTGTATTATGATTCCTATTTCACAACTGAGAATTAAGATGTTTTAAAAAATTATCCAAAGTAACCTAGTAAATTTTTTTTGTAAATGAAAAAATCTGAACCATTGGTTTTGGCCTCTGTGACTTTTCTATTAGATCAAGCACTTTTATCCGGAAGCTAGAATTGAACAGTATGTTTAATAGGCAACATTAATAGCCACTTACTGTGGAGCCAGTTACATTTTAAAAATTTAGGCCTCAGGCAATACCTCTGAAATAATATGTTAAGGTGGACAGAATTGAACATTTATTATAAATAATAATTAACATTCTTTGGTACCAGGAATTGAACTCAGGACCTTGCACTTTCCAGGCAGGCACTGTGCCATTGAGCTATATCACTAGCCCCGATAAGTAACAATTTGAAGAATCTTACTAATCACCTAATGCAAGTCCGTTATATTTCTGATGAGGTTGAGTAACTTCTCCAAACTAATGTGACTATTTTAGCCAAGGCAAGGGTAGACTCCAAGTATCTGCTGTGGTACACAGTCAACCGCATTCATTCACAGAGCTACCATGCAGAAAAGTTCAGTTAGACTCAGTTGCCTTTGATAATAACAAGACCTTCCATGGTGATGTATCATTGCAGCAACCCGTACCTTCCACTGTTCATTTCTAATCAAGGCTAATATCACAGTATCTGACCTTTGGCTGCCTATCTGGTTCCAAGTCTGGTGGCTTGAAACCTAGTTTTAAATTTTAAAGCTACCACACTATTATGGCAGAAATATAACATTTAGGAATAGGAATTCTAGAGGTGGAAAGAGGAAAATGTGGAGTGACCCTGGTGTCATTCTTGTCTTTGAGGCCTCTTCAGAGCCTCTGATATCAGAGACTATTGTCATTCTGACTTTTTAGGTCTTTCAGTTTTGCTATTTAGAAAGTAAAATATCCTGTGATCATTGCTGACCCTGTTTTCCAAAGTGTGTCATTGCTCACTCACAAGGTAGTTTTTATGTTGGCCACTGCAGGACATAGCATAATGACTCTTTTATCGAGAAACAAATATCCATCCACAGTAGAGAGAATGAGTGTCTAGGGAGTGGGAGTAATAACAATAAGAGAGAAACAAAAAGTAGCAGCTGTCAGAGGCTGTGAGATTTAAAGATTGTTTCTGACTTTTGAACTGGTGCCTGTTATTTGTTTTACTAGAGGCCGGGAGGACCCAGCAATGTCCTGCGAGATGCATGTCTGGTTGCTAATATTTTGGACCCAAGAATCAAACAGGAAATCATCAAAAAGTTTATTAAACAGCATCTGTCAGAGTATCTAGTACTTTTTCAAGAAAACCAAGATGTAAGTATCGACCAGATGAGGTCAGATGTAACACTTCAATTTTATTGAAAAATGAAGGCTGCCAAGCCTGTTCACTTACACTTTATTAGTGCTACTGTCTGACAGTGTTGATTGTTGAACCATGACTCCTACAGGCTGACTTCACAGTTCAGTAGTTCTTAACCATTTGAGGTCACTGACCCTTTGGAGAAATTAACGAAAGCTGTAGATCTTCTTTGCAGAGAAATGCAAGTATGCATTAAACTTTACATACAGTTTCAGGAAATTTACAGACCTCTGAAGCCCAGTCACAGACCCCAGGTTAAGAATCTTTGGATCAAGTAAATAAGATAGCATATGAAATGGTGAGAAATAACAGGGGTTGGCTGTTTTTTCCTTGGTTTTATGTTTTTGCTTATTTCCTTAAACTGTTAATAGTACTTCTAAGTACTGGAGTGGTTTTTGTTCCTTACCTTCATGAGGTTGCCTGGCTGGACAAGATTGACAGACGCTATGCCTGGGTAAAACGCCAGCTTGTGGACTATGAAGAAAAATATGGCCGAATGTTTCCACGTGAATGGTACATGACTGAGAGGATTGCAGTTGAATTTTGCCATGTGACAAGGTAGATTCCAACTCTTTACTGGTTCTGGTGCTGATTGAATTTTCAAAATGAATCCCCCAGTCTCTGTGATTCTATGTTGTCCTATGGATTGGGTACCACTTCCATACTTCACCAACTGATTGGGACCACCGTCATACCAACATAGTCCCATCCCTTTTGGCTCCAGGACCTTCCTGTGACCCAGCCTCACTTCAAACAGGCTATCTTCTCTCCTTTATGAACTCAAGGTTCATCAGCTAGATTTACCTATATTGACTTACCACTCCCACATTCACCCCTGCATCTCTGTTGCATATATCAGCATGGAGTATATATATAACCACCAGCAGTTTGACTTTCTGTCTTGCTAAATAGATAATCCCAGCACTCGGGAGGCTGAGGCAGAAGGAACACTACAAGTTTCACTTTGTAGCCCAGGCTGGCCTCAAATTCATGGTGATCCTCAGGCTTACAGTTCACTTTTAGAGTTGTACTTTCTATGTGTATATTAAGAAACATATTTGCTACCAAATATTTAAATCATAGATACAGTATTTAATAAAGTAGATATAGTGTTGATTCAAGGTTAGTTGTGGTTGTCACTTTCTAAATCCTAACTAGCAAAGGAAGAATGAATTCCTTGAGAACTATTTATAATTCTTTTTTTGCCTAAAGTTCAGCAGACTTGGAAACCAGCTATGTGCAAAATGAATCCTGGAAGACGCTGGAGATACACCAAAACTAACACGTCTCTGTGAATGTCAGTACCTGCTATTGTCTTGCCTAAAGGCAGCGCTACTGGCAAGCTTCTATTGTTAGAATTTTGGCTAAAGTCCTACAGATACATCATTCTCAAATAAATTCACAGGCCCTTTGTTTGATTTTGTCATTTATTTGTGTGGGAAGATGATGGCAGTTAGTACTTAGTAAGAATTCACACGTCACTCTTCCTTAATAAACAGCATCTTGAAACAGAACATTTGGGTGAGTCGCACTCAAACTTCATAGGTAGGAACCACCCACACATGTACATGTCACCTTTCTCATAGGGTTTCTGGTGTCTCATGGTTATTTATTTCTAAGGTCCTTGCTCTAGGTGAAGAGAGAGCTGTTAAGCTGTCCAGAAGATAAAGAGCTTTGTAATTCAGTAATTCATAATTTGTGAAATCATATAGGTTATATGTATTTTAATAAAATACTGAGTGCTTTGTATTATATTATTAACAAATTATTGAAAGATTTAACGGTATGTAAACATAGTAATAACCATGTTATCAGATTACCATTCATACTCCTTGGTCTTTTTTTAATTAAGGGATGATTTCACCTTAAAATTCTTATTTACACTGTATACAGTAGTTTCTCCCTATTTGTGCTTTCACTTTCCATGGGAGATTCCAGAAGTAATTCATAAATATTAAATAACTTATTATAATATATCATTATAATTGTTTTATTTTATTATGAATTATTGTTAATCCCTTGCTGTGTCTGGTTTCTAAATTAAGCCTTACTATTAATATGTATCTACAGTATAGGGAAAAACATAGTACATACGGGGTTCAATATCATCTGTAGTTTTGAGCATTCAGGGAACATCTTGGAAATTATCTCCTATGGGTAAGGAGGACTATTGTATTTCTATTCTGCAGGCATTAGACTAAGTTGGCAGTACTAGACCTTAGTATCTGAAATGATCGTGTACATTTTTATATATATATAGAAGCCATTTCAGTTTGTTTGACAACATTCTTAACTCTTTACCTTGAAGGGCAGAACTCGCCAAGATCATGCGTGCCAGGGCCAAGGAAATTGAGGTGAAATTGCTTCTTTTCGCTATTCAGAGAACAACTAACTTTGAGGGATTTCTGGCCAAACGTTTCTCCGGCTGCACCCTGAGTGATGGAACTCTGGTAAGACCTTCCACAAATCCATGGCTGGGGCTGAATGGGCTTCATTTCACTATTTTACTGATTATATCCTTTGGCTTGTGGGGTCAAGCAGTCCTCCTGCCTCAACCTCCCAGATACTTGGAACTGTAGGTGCATACCACTGTGCCTGGCTTTATTTTTTTTCAGTGAGGAAAATGCGTCAAATTAGTAATCTCCAAACCCCTTTCTTCTAACAAATCTGATGTAGAATCCAAAGAGAATAATAGCTAACATTTTTTGAATGTCCACTGTGTGTCCTATGCTGTGCTAGGTACATTTATCTGGAATCACCTTGCTTTATCTGTCTTCACTTTAATCATACCTAAGATTACACTGCTAATATGTAAAGCCATAAACAGTTAGCTGTTCTGATTGAAGCAGGGGAGTAAAGGTAGGAGTTGGACCTAGAGTCCCACACACTTGTTTGCCTCTCACCTCTGCTACCTTCTCCAGTCCCCAGCCTTCTAGTCCTAAAATCCCAGGATTTAAACAGATCAGATCCCCTCTTCACCAGCAAGACCTATCTCAGAGTAGGTGACTCAAAACTGGTTCGTCGTGGCACTGGTATGAAGAGTGGTCAAGAACAGCTTGGCTTTAAGGGAAGGCCACAAGGCCCAACTTACTTGGGCTCACCTACAGCTTTCAAGTAGAACCACAAAATACTCTTTCCTTACTTAATAAAAAATATATAGATGCTCTTCTCTATGCTAACTCATGTTCCAAATTGATTGCTTTTTACTAGTGGGGAAAAATAGGTCGTAAAATAGATGAAAATGCCCTTAAAACCCAAGTCAAAAATAAAATGGCCACGTGTGGTACATACTGATAATCCCAGCACTCAGGAAGCTGAGATAGGAGGGCTACAAATTTGAGCCCTTCCTGAGCTACAGTAGTGACTGTGGCAGGCCTGATCTACAAAGTGAGACCTTGTGTCTTTGTTACTTATTGCTGGGACAAAATACCTGACACAAGTTAAAGGAGAAAAGGTTTATTTCAGTTTACAGTTTGTAGAGGTTTCATTCCATTGTCAGCTGGCTCCAAGGCAGGGTGGCACAGCAGAGGGACAATCACAGAAGAAAACAGGCCATGGCAGAGCAGGCAGGAGGTAGTAAAGCAGCAGCAGTGAGCCTCCCTTTCCCTTTTTTTTTTTTTGGTTTTTCTCCGGTACCGGGAACCGAACTCACGACCTTGCACTTGCCAGGCAGGCGCTTTGCCGCTGAGCTAAATCCCCAGCCCCACTCCCTTTCCCTTTTATCCCATCCAGGCTACAAGTTTTTTGGATGGTACCACCCACACCCAGGGCGGGGCCTCTGTTTTCAGTAAATCTATTTAGCTGAACTCAGAACTATGCTAATTCCAATCAATGGGACTAATCTAGTACCATATACCATTAATCTCAGTATCACACACCTAGGTCCAGCAAGCTCTGAAAAGTCCCACCTATAAGTGCATGAGGCTATGGAGGGACATCTAGATATAAGCCATAACACTCTGTCCCAAAAGACAACAACAAAGTTAACAGAAATGCCATTGAAGAAAGCATGCCTCAGTACCCCCCAAAAAAGGCGTGCGTCTCTCCTTAGAAATTTGTGGCTGGCTTCAGCACCTGCTTGATTTTCTCAAGCTACCTTTCCTCTCTGTCCTACCCAAGCCATGCTTCTGAGCTGCTTTCAAGTAGAGGGTTAGGTGACACTGGACTCAGCCCTTTAGACATCTGCTTAAGGACAAGAAAATTTAACCACTGAGAACAGGTCTCACCTTAAGAGTAGTACCTAAGCTCCTCTGGCCTGTCATTGGCCAGGGCGAGTAGAGTGTGAGGACAGGCTCAGTGGACCAGTAATCTGGGTCATGGAAGAAGAAACAAGGATGCTTGAATACCATTCATGCCAAATGTGTTTTGAGCCATTTGTCCCCTCCTTTGGCTAGATACTACCTCGGGGGAACAAATGGCCTTGTTGTACTTCATGACCAGGGTAGCCTATAAGCTTCCTAAGAGACACTAGAGTTTTCACCTCTCCAAGGAAGTCCCCCACAGGTTAAAAGTGCGAGAGTAACATGGATAGGAAAGGCCCCCTCTAGACAAGCTGAGGCTGTTGCTCCATGCAGAGATCATGGAAAACTGGTAGGAGCTCTGCTTAAGTTTGCAAAGGCAATGGTGTTTTGAGAAAATAGGTACTGTATAGCACTGTCAAAGGAGCAGTTGGCTGATTGTCCATCACTTTCTGACTCAAGGGGGAGGGGTGGAGGTGCTTTGTTTCTCAGGGCAGCATGTCCCCTGTGACTTAACACACGCAGCAAGTGCCCGACTCCTGGACTGGAGCCATTGCAACTTGTGGCAGCTGCTGTGCTCTGTAGTGATATTGTTGTCAGCTAGAAACAGTTGAACTTTTCCCTTGGTCCTTTGTTTGCTTGTTTGATTTTTCTTTTTGCTTGTTTATGGTGCAGGGGATCAAACCCAGGGCCTAATATATGCTAGGCAAGTTCTTTAGCACTGAGCTATATTCTCAGACCCATAGGCCCTTTTTCGTCTTCTGTGTTTGAAATTTTCTGGCAGAAGTGGTTTGTAAATACCCCTTCAGTTGTTCAGGTGTTGCTTTCTACTCCTATCAAATTTGTCAGAGAGTTTCAGATTGTAAATCCTTGGCCACATAATCCTGCTTAATGCCATGAGCTCTTTATTTACCCCTCTAGTAGGTCAGCTGTCTTCTCCACACACTTCTCTAAATCATTGAACTTCTAAAGAAGTTCAGTCTCTTCCCCTGATATTGTTTGTTCCAATTACCATGACCCAGCAACCCATCTGCATTCCACACCTTGACAATGGGCATCCTACCCCTTCAGGGATTTTTCCTTTAAAGGTGAGTTTCTAGAAAGGCCCAGAACCCCTTGGACCTCTTCAACTAGGCAAAGTCTTTTAAGAAATGGTTCACTGCTGGTCAGCTGTGGGAAGGTGGGAAGGTAATGTTCACACTGAGCTTTGCCCCTGCCATCACTTTGCTTTGTGCCAGTGGGAGCCACACCATCCATACCTGTATTCTGCAGCCCTCAGTGGTAGGACCCCTGCTGAATCAGTCATAGCTGCTGACACTTCTCCCCACAGACAGCACTGGAAGGAGGCCATGCTGACTCCTATTCTAGCTGCCCAGCATCCCGCCTAAGACTTACTGCTTCCTGGACCCTTGCCTCCTCCTATGCTATTTGCTTCTAGGGTAGACTTTTCTAAAAATCCTTTTTCTGGGCACCATTTTGTTTTGAGATATCAGAATAGATTGTGACATGGACCAAGGTATATCTTGATACCCTCCAATATATGCCACATTTCATAGAACGTTAGTGAATTCTTTGGAAAGTGATCATGGAGCAGGTAGTCGTCAGCAAAGAGCCAAGATAGCCGGAGGTCCTGCCTGCCTTGCTGCTTCCTCCCGAGGCCATTGCCTCCCCTGCCGCTACCACCATCACTTGCCTTTCTGTATCTTTCAGAACCTCCTTAGCCATTGGTGGCTTTGACAGTGAAGCAAGGTTGGGCTTGAGAGTGTGGCTAGTTCACCCGAAAGACCTGCTACAGCTCGGGCTTCCTCACCAACCAGTGCGATGCATTGTCCTTTGCTCTTATTTTAGAGCTGTGACACTGCCATCTGACAGAACTTTAGAGTGAAAGCACCTCAAGGACAGGGCTTGCTTGTGTTTCCTGTATCGGCCCTGTCAAGTTTTATCATATGTTGCGCTAGAGCCATTTCTGCAGAAGGTGAGCTGCTGGTGCTGCTTCCAGCTGCCTCAACTTCTGACCCTTTAGGAGGGATTCAAGATAGTCTGTAAATTAAAATACCTTGAAATTGAAAGCAAATGTCTGGATGTGATCTAACTACATCCATATGCATTTTTAGTGACTTGATGATTAGATTGAAAGTGGACAAATTATATTCAACCTTCTGCTGAAAGCGGAGTAGATCAAGTTAGGTTTTTATAACTGCCTCACCAAATTTGGGAGGCTTTTTTTTTAAACATCATAAAATTTTTCCCCAAGAAATGCAACTGGCTTTCCCTTGTTGGCCAGTACATAAGTTGCCTTTCTAAAAAGAATTGCCTTTTGACTTACAGAGATCATTTTAATATACATGTATACTTGCCTGATTTTAAAAATTACATTATAAATATAGGAGCTTTGAGTACAGTTCTTAGCCATGCAGTTTGGGCATCATAACATTTTTTTTAAAAATTCACTCTTAATGACAGCCTGCACAGAGGGTCTCACCCTCTACTATGGTCTTAGAGTAGATGAATGCCTACATTAGGAAGACTGAAAGAAGAGAAGGGGCAGGGTTTCCTAGGACATCCATCGTGAGTAAGATAGTTTTCCTTTACTTGATGAGCTCCCGTGAGTGTTTGAAATATTTTATAAATGGTTTCTTTCTTTTTTCTTGTGTGTGTGTATGTGCAGGTATTACTGGAGATTGAATGCAGGGAGTACTGAGCTGCCTAGCTGTTTGTTTCACTGATTGATTGATTGATATTTTGAAGTAAGGTCTGCTAAATTGTCCGTGCTGGCCCCACCTCAGTCTCCCCAGTAGCTGAGATCACAGCTGTGTGCCACCATACCTGGAATTTTATAAATGGTTTATTGATGTCAAAGGACATCCATTTCCATTTGAATGACATCCTAAGGGAAAATTAACTTTTGTTTCTTTCTGAGATGAGAGTAATGCATGGTCGTGGAAATTGTAGGCAAGAATGGGGAAACAGATACGAGGATTTTTCTTCACATTTGAAATTATACTTTCTAAATACAATTTTTTGCTCCACTCACTGTATTTTTTTAAATTGAGATGTAATCCACATAACAAAATTTCACCAAAAAACTCACCTTTGAAAGCATACAATTCGTTGAATTTTACTTTATTTGCAGTGTTGCGCCACTTTCACTTGTCTGATCCTAGAACACTGTCACTCCCAAAAGAAATCCCCCTAAGCGTCCACTTCGGCTT